TTATATCAAATGGATGTAAAGAACGCATTCTTGCATGGAAATCTCATGGACGACATTTATATGAAACTTCCATATGGTATGTCCTGTGGTATATGTGTATAATATTCTTATCTCTAGATCGGATCACATCCTTATTTAGAAATTTCAGTAGCATCGACACTCGATTTTTTATATGAAAGATCTTGGTCATCTCACTTACTTTCTTGGCTTGGAAGTTCACACAACACCGCATGGTATTTTCTTGAATCAACATAAGTATATTAAAGACTTGGTTAGGTTGGTTGATTTATCTAAAGCCTCCTCAGCTGATACTCCGTCGGAACTTAATGTTAAGCATCGAAAAGACGAAGGTGATATTATTCCAGACCCTCCTCTGTACCGGAAGTTGGTAAATAGTCTCATCTATATCACTATCACACGTCCAGATATTTCTTTCGCATTTCATACCGTCAGCAAATTTATGGATGCTCCGTGTCATCTACATTTGGTAGTTGTTCGCCACATAATTCACTATCTTATTGGGACTCTTCATCATATAGCAGAGAATCTGGGATTGAATTACTTTCCATGTATAGCTTGTAATATCTTATAAATTAAGGCAATAAACACGAGAATATTCTTGAGCAAAAACTCGTCATTTCCAACCCCATTATTTATTTTAAAAAAATAAAATACCCCCATAATTTGTATTTTTCTTACAAATGTTTAAACTTTGCCAAAACATTTATAAAATCTATGTCAATACTTAGTTTCAAATGGAAATAGTAATATTAATTTCTAGAGCACTTCCAATTTACTTCCCACTTCACGTGGCTCTTGTAACATTTCTTGGTTAATATTCTGGGTTGTCACCTAAACTTCAGATCCTATTCTATGTAAAGCATGTTTGCTTGGTAACTTAATATCATCTACATCATAGTCCTTCTCCCTTTGGGTGATAATCAAGTGGTAGTATGAATAACGATTATGTCAAAATATTGTTTGAGGTGTCTAAACTTGGATGACCTTTATTTTCTTTCTTCTTGGGGAGGTAGGGGTGGAGTCCCTTCACTTTTTTGGACATATAATTCAAATCAATACAGTGATTATATATATTTTTTCCTTTGCAGGCTGAGAGTGCTATTGCAGCTCTTAACTGTAGTGGGGCAGTCTTAGGATCTCTGCCGATAAGGTTGATTTCCTCTGTTTATCCCTGGATCCATTCGCAATATGCTTCTCTTATCATAAAGTTCCAAATCTCTTAATCGTTTGCATTTTTGCAGGGTAAGCCCTTCGAAGACCCCTGTTCGACCACGATCACCTTACCAATCCATGCACTGAACTTTGTCGAGTTGCTCTTGAACTGATCTTCAGATCAAGCACTCTCTATAAGTACATACATAAATAGATAACAGTACTTTGTGGCGTTTACGTTGCTATATATATATATATATATCCATTGCATCATAGCTGATAATTATGGTCGTCTTTTTAGCTTGTCGAGCAGGATCCTTTTTGAGGCTTAAATTTGGTTATGCAATTATGTTGAGTACTGGTAAGGCAGTGCCTCGAAGTAATATACTGTTCTGTGCTTCTATCTTTCTAAGTTAAAAAACTTCTTATAAATTCCTATCTTTTCTATGCCGTGTAAATTGTTATGAATTTCTCTATTTTCTTTTTTTTTTTTCCGGGGTTTCTGTTGCCGGGGGCATGATTGATTTATGGAGTATTGAGAGAATTTTGTGACGATGGATTGATTTTCTGCACACCTTTTATTTATCTGATATGGCTGTCCGAGGTTGATTCCTATGGCATAGAGTTGACTGATCTATTTTTTATTTTTTTTTTCAGTTGAAGGATTCAACCATATACAGTAAAAGCTAAATAGTATTAATCTGTTTGTAAACTTCAGAGTTGAAATTTTTTGGGGAGAATTGCTGTCAAGATACCAAACATTTCATTTAGTAGTAGACTTTGTTCAAACCTTTCATTTGTGCCACACAAGGTACAAAACATTTCAAAAATTCGTAGGTCAAGTCCAATCAGACGAATTTTGTCATATTAGCCGTTAGTTGACCTAAAAAAATGGAAAATTGATCATTTTGACCAGTTAGGTAAGGGTAAAATTGTCTATTCCAATTTAACATAAAATAATTGAAATAATTAAATTAAAAAATGCTTTTATCTCCCTCCATTCTCCACCCAACCCAACCACAACCTACCAGATTATCTTCTTCCCTATCCCTCCACCTTTGCCACCACACGACATCTTCCATCCCCATCATCATTGCCACCTTACACCCTGTAGCACGAGTAGTGTCACACTTCTTGCCCTCCTCCTTGTCGTCACCTCATTTTCTGTTGCCACTCTCAAGCCATTTATGACAACTTCAAATCCCATTTCCACCCCCATTAAAATGCTTTCATCATTCAATTTCGATCCAAATCCCAAACCCAGTGAATTTGTCGAACCCCAACCCACCACTTTTCCCTTCCTCACCCAGTGAATTCGTCCAAATCCCAAAAGCAGGAGTACTAGTGTTGGCAATCCTCATAGAATCCAAAAAAGCTTTCACGGTTTCATACTCTTAACAAATTTGGACTCTTTTCAATCACAAAAAATATTGACGCGTATGCCTTCTTGAGATTATGAGTATCAGAGTGAGAACAAATAGGTAATTAAAGAATTGGTAAGGGGTTTACTAGAAAACGAAGAACACTTTGTGAGAGTCTTAAATGACTTCCATGCCTCGTCTGTGTTGTGGTTAAAAAATGAATTCTTGGAGGATGGTTTCATAATTGGACTTTTGTGATTTGGTAACGAATTTTGGGCCACATTTTCTTGGGTTTTTTTTGTAAGGGTTCTTAGGATTTTGTGGTTCTTTTTTGCTAGCTTTTGAGGTGGAGCTGGGGCTGGTGGTGGTGGTGCCGATGGTCGTTAATTTTGAGGCTGTGTCGATGGTGACTTGGTGGGTGTGGTTTTAGTTTTGGGGTGAAAATGTTGGGGAAGAAGGAGATGGGGTGGGTGGTTGTGGTTTTTTAATTTTGATTTTAATAGAGAGAATGTGCCATGTCAAAAATGCCCTTGCTTTATTTGGGGAAAATTATAAATGTTGCAAAACAAACAATATACCATAATTGCTCCGATACCAATTGTTGTGGAACAAACTACCGGATTGAGATGTTGAAATTATATAACAAATAATAATAAAGTATTTGATCAAACAAAAGAATAAAGCAGATAAGAATATGACAGAAGAATTAAGAGATTTTATTAACTCAAGAGTAATTGAGAAGAGAAAATTACAATGAATCCTATATTTTTAGTAATCTATTTTCTCAC